GGAAAGAGCAACAGGGGATGGATCAGCTGAGAGGTGCTTGTTTGGTTCATCCTCTCGGAACCACCTGATGTTGGCCAGTTGGGGAACACACGAGCCCTGTATGTAGCTGACATGGTCCCCAGTTCCACCATCACCCCCCCGTGCATTGCCAGAGACGCAGGATCCCTTTGAGCTGTTCCCATTGAAAGGGCTCTCCTGTTCACCACAGCTACTAGGCAACACACGGCCAGATAAGTGCGGGGAAGCTGCCAGCCCTTTAAAGAAAGCACTTAGGGGGCCCACAGCTCCCCCAGCGTCTAACGCTGTTGCTTGGGTGTCAGACTCAAGCCCTTTTAATGCTTCTATTTAAAGGTCTCCTGCCTTCCCTGCACCTGTCAGGCAACCCTTTGCCTAGCAGGGGAACAGGACAGCCCGTTAAATAGCAAAGCTGAGAGGGCTGGCGGCTCCCCCACCTCTAGCGTGTTGCTAGGGAGCCAGAGACCCTCCGCCCTCAGCTGTGTCTATTTAAAGGACAGGTGCCTTCCCTGGATCGACTGGATCTAAGTATGGGGATGACAAGAGCCCTTTAAATAGAGGTTGTTTGAGGGACTCGTGCCCCCCTCCTGCTCTAGGCAGCGAGCTGGGGCAGAGCCTGAAACTGCCTCACGGGCTGGATCCAAGCCCTAGGTGGGCAGGAATTCGGCCACGGAGAGGCCCACCCCAGAATTAGAAGATTGACAATGATAGACAGATGGACACATCTCATTTCTAACTTCACACCCAAGAAAGACGCGTACCCCACATGAATTGGCGTGCCTCAGTTTCCCTTTTCACACATCAGTGTAACCTTCTTCTGCCTTTGCTGCTACTCCCAGCTCTAAGCCGTGTGCAGAGGTTTAGAAGCACACTCAATATGGGACTCCTCTCACTAGGATGTACCTTAACCGGGCACGTTCCACACTTCCCAGGGGGCGCCTCCACAGGAGTTCCTGATCCAGAAGGAAAAGCCGTAAGGTTCCCAACAAACCAAGGGTGCTTTGCAGTGTCTCCAAAGTGCCGTTTCCATACGTCGTCCTCCGGTCAAAGAGTTTGTGCCCTGTGCTACATCCTACCCCTCCCATCCCTTTTGTGCACCCGTGCGTATTCAGTGACAGGTTTTCTCATCTCATCAGTGGATCGAATGCTCCTTGGTGGATTTGAATTTCCAATGGAAATGCGCCTTCCTCCTGGTGCTGGGCATTCCCTCGCGTGGTCCATCAGCATAAATATTTGCACTTGCAGCCTTCCAGAGATTTCCGCCTTCCCATCTCAGACAGATGGTTTTTGCCTTGTTAGTCCTGTGTCTGGCCCTGGAATGTTTTGGATCAGAAGGTTTCCCATTCTCAAGAAGCTAATAGCAAAGTCTCCTCCGTGAAACCTGACTGAGAGCTGGGCAGCTGGGTTCATAGATACAGCCCAGCCCCCATCTCCCTGCCCTTCCTGCCAAAAATGGAGAAACACCCTTGCCCCCTGCTCTGGGCCACCTGTCTCCTCTCCAGCTGTGGCACCCAGCTCCACCCACGGCAAACTGGTATCTGGGAGACCCTGCTTCCACCTGTTCTCTTTCTTCCTTTTGTTAGCCCAGTTCAGGCGTGGGCAATCGTACTGTGGTCGTGTGGCCAATGGGATCTGTGGCCAATGGGAGCTGTGATTGCTGACTTCTGTCACCAGGCCAGTAAATACAGAGGGGGAGGCCTGGCAAGAGCTCACCCTGGCAGACCAGATCCTGCCAGTCGGTCCATACTTACCCACCTCTGGGCCCACAAATACGGAGGATGAACAAACACAGCAGGAGTCTTAGTGTAGTGAGATTTCATTCCTTAGTGCACTTTTTTCTCACATGTTGGTGGTAAACGTGTTGACGCACTGATTGAATTTCTGCCTGGGAGGAAGGAGGCCCATGGGCGGCTATGAAGGCTGAGATGGGAAAAATTGCCTGGTCCTTTTGGGTGCTCATGTCCCCTTCTGGTGGCATTGGTGAAGCCACATCTGAGTACAACATCTAATTCTGCACCCCCTCCCCCCCCCCGGTGCGGAAAAGTGAGTGGAGCAAGGAAAATGATTTGGCAGCTAGAGCACATGACCTACAAGGAGAGGCTGAGGGATCTGGGTCTATTAAGTGAGCAGAAGAGAAGAGTGAGGGGGGATTTGAGAGCAGCTTTCACCTACCTCAAAGGGGGTCCAAAGAGGCTGGAGAGAGGCTGTTCTCAGTGGTGGCAGATGACAGAACAAGGAGCAATGGTCTCGAGTTGCAGTGGGGGAGGTCTAGGCTGGAAGCACTGGGCTGGGTTCCCTGGTGGGGAGGGGGGAATCTCCATCCCTAGAGGTTTTCAAGTCCTAGCTTGACAAAGCCCTGGCTGGGATGATTGAGTTGGGTTGGTCCTGCTCTGGGCCGGAGGCTGGACTCGATGACTCCTGAGATCTCTGCCAGCCCTGGGATCCTGTGATTTTATGATTCTTATTCATTCATTCATTCATTTATTTTTATTTTGATAGTGAGAAAAGTTAGATCTTATGAGCATGGAGTTTGTTGCCAAATGCCTTCAATTTGCATTTGATCTCTCTGTACCAATATCCATAGGGCTGTCAGTATAGGAGGAGACAGAGGTGCCTGGCCTCTGACAAGTGTATGGACACGCAGGAAATGCTACTTGGAGGGACATTTAGACTCCTAATCCCTCACAGAATTTCATTCCTCTTCCATCTGCAGATGTGTTCAATATTTACTCACCGTGGCAGCAAAATATTTCACTTAATTTCCAAACTGTATCAGACAACAGAAGAGCCTTGTCAATGGGATGGGAATGTCGTAGGATTCAGTAGGTGGGGAAGAGATCCGGGGTCACTCAGAAGCTGTTAAGCTCCCGCAGAATCTGGGCACTTGTGTCCCTGTACAGATCAGTGAAGTGGAGCGTGGCAGTAAAACACAGGCCTGATATGAAAGAGAAAAGCTGAGAAAGTCGGAGAACTGTAGGGAGAAAGCACGAAATCACACAAGAGAAAAGGCGAAGTAAGGCCCATTTGGGAGAAACCCTCTTTTCATATAGTTGTCGAAGCAAAAGCCTCACTCAGTTTACGCGGCTAAACAGACAGTTTTATTGGCCAATAAAAGCCAAGTGAGCCAAACGTGGTCCCAGCAGAGCCAGGCCCAGTGAGGCTGGCTAATACAATCAATCCTAGTATTTTATACCCTTAACCAAAAAAGTCTGACGTCAGGGCAAGAAATCAAAGAGAACTTCAAAGAGGAATTATTATCAGCAGAGAAAGAAACAGGATTAGAGGGAGTTCGAGCTTCCGCTCAAAATAGTTCAACAACACATTCCAACAGCGCATCCTTCTGGCCTCTCCCCACCTCAGGGAAGGCCAGTTCACTCCCTCTAGTGTACGTGCAGACACAAGAAACTGAAATGGCTTTTGTTATACAGAATGGCTTCTAGCTAAATATGAAATGGTTTCTACATAGGCAAATGGACTGATGTAAGAGACTACATCAATTCTTTATTTTACTGTTCACATGCCTGAGTCTGAAATCAACCAGTGTCAGAAGAGATTTTCTCAGGGACTGATGGACCTCCTTGTTCCTCAGGCAGTAGATAAAAGGGTTGAGCAAAGGTATCAGGACTGTGCTCAAGAAAGAAAATATTTTGTTCAGGATCGCAGGGGGCCGGAACTGTGAGAGCACATAGATTGTAAATACGCTCACGTAGTAAACTGCAACCACAATGAGGTGGGAGGAGCAGGTGGAAAAGGCCTTTTGCTTCCCGATGGTGGAAGGGATTCTTAGTATGCTGGCGATGATACAAATGTAGGTTGCCAGAGTAAACAGAAAGATGCCAACGGTTATTATGATAGCCAGAATATATGTCAGCCATTGAAGCACTATCGGAAATTTTCTTTTGCTACACAACAGACCATTGGACGAAAAGTCACAAAAGAAATTGTTAAATTCTTTGGGGCCACAGTATGTTGACTGCAGAATAATTATTTGTAACATGAAGGTGTAGGAAATGCTGAATACCCAGCACCCTGCCACTATGGGGGCACACACCCTGCTGTTCATCAGAGCAGGGTAACGGAGGGGGTGGCAGATTGCTAGGTACCGATCGTAACACATGGCCGTGAGCAGCATAAATTCTGCAGAACAAAGGATTCCATAGAAATAGAATTGCACAAAGCAGTTCTGTAGAGAAATGGTCCTGTCTCCAGTCGCGAGGCTGCCAATCAGCCTGGGCAGGGTGGTGGAGACGTAGCAGATCTCCACAGCGGACAAGTTGGCCATGAGGTAATACATGGGGGTATGAAGGTGCCGATCAGGCACCACCAGCACAATGATGAGGAGGTTCCCAGCCACAGCCACAATGTAGATCACCAGAAACAGCAGGAAGAGGAGGGGCTGCAGTTCAGGGTCGTTCTCAAACCCGACAAGGATCAGTTCCACGATGGGCGTTTGGTTTCTTCCTTCCATAATACGTGTCAAGAAACAGAAAAGCATCAGACACACATGGAGCCTTCAACACTCAGGGGTGTGAAATATCTTCATCATGTCAGGGTCCTTTCAACCAATGTCGAGGACATAACATAAGACAATGATCTGGAAATGGAGGATATTTAAAATTCAAATATGGCTTTGTCCACCCTGCAGCTGAGAGGTGTCACTCCCAGATGGAGTAACATGCTCCAGCTTCGAACAATTAGCAGCATTGAATTTGCAATGAGAACAGGGGAGCAGAGTCAGTGGCTGTCGACACACCCCTGTGTCCATATCTGGGATATTAGAGGGCTGCCGGCAGTTAGTCTGTGCTGCTGAGACTACGCTCCTAATTTTAGCATCCAAGCTCAATTAAGGGCAGTGTGTGTATCTCAGGTTGTGGGGGCAAGGAAATTACCCGTTTGAGATTGAGCAGAGATAAACCCCATGACAGGAAAACTGAAACCCCCAAACCTAACTAGTATCCACACCTAGCCGCTATCCACTGTTGCAGCAGATTCAAAGAAACAAACCCACCATTTGAAAGACGCAGCTGAGAAACAGACAAGGACACAATAAATCTACTGAGAACACATCCAGTGGGTTGCTACCTGATCTCAGATCCTCCAGGGTCAATTGCACCAGCTTTATGAGTGTTTACAGAAGCAGAACTGAGAGCTACTTTCTATGGAGAAAAAAACAATTCAATGCTCCCGTTCTGAAAGATTTCAAAGATTTTTGGCCAAAGCTCCCAGGTCAGTCTGATCTCTAAATCTGGAACTCCTAACGCCGGCCGTGTGAAGAAAAATTGAATCTCCTTGTCGCATCAGCTCTAAGATTTAAAGGCACCTAAAGGATTTTTAGGCATCAACTACTTTAGAATGTGAAAGACAGTGTGCTGAAATCACAAACACACTATCTCACAAAAACACACTTAGGGTATGTCTACACTACCCTCCTAGTTCGAACTAGGAGGGTAGTGTAGACATACCCACAGAGAGTTACTCCATAGGATTTTATTGTAGCACTGTAGTCCTTTGTTTTGTTTTGTGACAGAATCAAACCCTTTATACCTAATCCCAACCCCTTCTTAGCCTCCATGGGAAATATAGATATTTAATAATTGTGGCTGATACACCAATATATTTAAACTTTGAACTTCTGATCTTTTCTAATGTCACAAGTAAAATAACCAACGTGTCCCTTTTCTCCTCTCCTTCTCCTGTTGCTTTGCTATTAAGGCTCACAGGACTTTTTACTGTTTGAAGCTGAGACGTATGGACATGTAAAGAAAAGATCAAAGTATACTCCTGATTAATAAATCTCAGTAAAAATTACTGCACAAATGCTGGTAAAAAAACCCCCCAGACTTCATTCAAGAATAATGGACAGGCAAGGATCAAAGGAGAACTTTAAAAACTGTACAGGATTTTTTTAAAGGAGGGAGTTGATATTTAGTTAGACAGTAGCAAGGAGTAGATGCGCACATCATCTAATTTAATCATTTTCACTCTTGCTTTATGATAAAGTACAACAGGAGATTAGAAATTCAAAAGTTCGATAGCATGCAGAGGGGTCAGTGAACCTGTCTACTGAACATAAGCTCACAATGTTTAGGTTAGATATGCTAACATTTCACATTTAGATTCGATTTTAAAATACAAGATTTTACTTTTGGGGACAACTAATTTCAAGGCCTTTGCTTAATAAGACTATTGCTTGTGAACAGTCATTCTAAATAGTCCCAGTCCACTTGAAATGCCCATGTGTGCTAACCGAGAGGAGAATTTTCCCCTACACGTTTCACGTAAAGGCTCACTGGTTTAGGTGAAACTACACACAAGTCGATTAACTACAAACAGTAGATTGAAGTGGATTTCAGGGACAGCAAAGCAGATTATCAGCAGCTAACCAAACACAAGCTCTGCAAAACACACGGGGCAGAGTCAGGAGGAACAAGCAGATTCTCACCCGGAGGGATGGGACCGGCCGTCTGGTGGGTTCTTAAGGCACCACTTGCATTCTTTGCTGTTTGGGATGTTTGGGTTTCCAGACACCGGGTAAGACGCCTTCAGCTTGGTTCCAGCCCTTCCCCCAGGTCAGTCTGTCTTGCTCAGCTCCTTCCCGGTGTCCTCTTGCGTGGGGAGTAAAAACGGCTGATTTTCCCCTCTGCCTTATATAGCTCCGGCAAACAGGGGGGGCGGGGGGGATTCTTTGTTTCAAAACTGCTCCCCAGACCAGGCTTTGGAAAAACAAGATGGGAGGAGTGAGCCCAAAGTCATGTGGTCTGATCCACTGACCTCGTAGAATCACAACAACAGGTAATTTTAGGCTCTCTGGAGCAGTCTCTGGAAAGCTCCCCTGGTGGGATTTCGGCTTCTCCTGAGGCCTGTTGTTCTCCCTAATGTCTCATTACAGGGCTCAGGGATTTGTCTGCACTGACAGCCCCTTCCCCAGTGGGGTACTGCTGTGTGAATACATTGGGAATAAAGATTCATGCTCCGTATTCATAATTTGAGGTACAAAAATGAGGCAGGAATACAGATGTGATAATCAAAATCAGTAAATCCCTTTGTTTCAAATGACACTGTAAATGCGTCGCTTTGCAAAAATGCTTCATATTTCTGCTACAACGACATCACAGGAATGGGTTGGGAGGTTGCGGAATTTGCATATCCTCTTTCAAAACTTCCACGTAGTCTAGACAAGCCCCTACTCTCCATCTATAAAAAGGGAAATAAGAACAACCCAGGCAACTACAGACCAGTCAGTGTAATTTCTGTGTCAGAGAAGATAATGGAACAAGTAATTAAGGAATTCATCTGCAAATACCTGGAAGATAATAAGGTAACAGGTAACATCCAGCATGGATTTGTAAAGGACAGGGCATGTCAAACCAATCTGACAGCTTTCTTGGATAGGACAGTAAATCTTGTGGATAAGGGGAGGCGCAGCAGATATCGTATATCTAGACTTTAGTAAAACATTTGATAATTTCACATGAACTTCTTATCAATAAAGTAGGGAAATACAACCTACATGGGGCTACTATAAGGTGGGTATCCCCGACTGCCACAGCAGAGTCGAGGATGTGGACCTGCCCGTCTGCCTGATGGGGAACACAGCCTACCCCCTACAGCCCTGGCTGATGTAGCCGTACATGGGGCAACTCAACCCCTCCCGCCAGGCCTTCAATGCCAGGCTCCCCAGGGCCCGCATCGTGATAGAGGGGGCCTTCAGACGCCTGAAAGCCAGATTTAGGTGCCAATGAGAACAGGGCAGCAGAGCCAGTGGCTGGCAATACGCACCTGTGTCCATACCTGGGATCTCAGATGGCTGCGGGTAGTTAGTCTGTGCTGCTGAGCCTACACTGCTAGTTTTAGCATCCGAGCCCAATCAAGGGTAGTGCGTGTGTGATGGACCGGGCCATTTATGGGCACAACTGAGGGCGTCCGCTCAGGGTGAAGTGCTCAAATCCGGGGCTCCTTACATCCCCTAGACTGGTGACCTTCCCAAATAGTCCACTAACCAGTCCCACAGAGCAATTCAGCTGCCTGCCTGAAGCCTCATGAGCAAAACCCCTCCGACATTTCAGCAATATCCGTGCCCCAGATGGCCCCGGGCCTCATACATAGGTGGGGGGTCCTAGCACCCAATCCCACCTACCCCGAACAAATTCTGTCCGGTTCCAAGAAACCAGCCACAGAACCCTGGTCAATTTGCCCTCTGGATCTTACCCACAAATCACGCTGGGCCAATCCTTTAGAATCTATATCTAAAGGTTTATTATCACAAGAAGGAAAAGCATGAGAGCAAGGTTGTTAAAGAATAGTATGTTACATGCACCGAATCTCCCAGTCCTCAATGCAGGCTCTAGCAGAGATGTTACAGCCGCTGGTTTAAAAGTTCTTGTTGCACATCCTATCATCAGGATGGGTTCACAGGTCTTCCGGGCTCTTCGATCCCTGCAGTGCTGCCTCTGGGATGAAGTGCTGAGCTGAGAACCAAATGGCATCGACCACATGGCCTCTTTATACCTCCTTCCTGGCCTCTT